CTCCTTGAATTTATATGGTTGAATTGTACGTAGAGTTGTAGTCGAACTTTAAATTAAATAAATCAATTAATGGCACATTTCTCCTAAGCAAAGCCATCAACTCAAGTTCATTTCATTTTGAAAAAAAAATTTGTTTTCTTAATGGAAGTGGTCGGCTATGACAGCGTCCAATGTGTATCCTTTTAATCGTCAGTGAGGTGAGAGGTTTTTCAATGCATTCGAAAAATAGGACGGCACATCATATGTTACTATGCAAGTGAAGAGTAATTTCTTTTTTTAAGTGTCCTTTCATTTGAATAATTACCAGGGCAGGCGCAGGCCCAGTGCAGGCATGACAACTGTCCAGGGTCCAAAATAATTGGGGGCACAAAATTATTACGGTTATACATTTATATATGTTTTCATAAGAGTAAAAATGTATAAAATTTGGTTCAATGACAAAGAAATTTAATTAGAAATGGTGGTTTTGATGTTTGAAATTAATAAGGAGGTCTTGAGTTCAAATCACCATGTGTGCTTATTTACTTTTCAATTTTTACGAATTTTTGTTTAGTTGTTAATTTATTTTTAATTAGTAGCTAGTAGCTATGTGGGTTGTTATTTTAAAAACATTTGTTCCAATTCAAGTATAATCTTCAACAAACAGTAATGCATTGACCAAATTTGCAAATCATATGACGTGTTATCAAAAAGTTTAATTTAGTACTCATTTATTACTTATACATATCAATTAAATACTCAAAAGCATCATTATTTTTTTAGTCCCATATTGACAAGGTTAGTAAATAAGAAAAAACATATCACGATTCATACAAAAACACTTTAAAAGTTCAGATAGAAAACAAAACTCATATCTATCTACTTGTAAACCCAAAGTTTTTTTGTTTCCTTCTCACGATACAAAATAAATTAGTTTTTCGGTGTTTCTAAATGATTAAGTTTGAAGTGTTTTTCTAAGTATAATTTTATCGATGCCTTACATGTGAAAACAAATAATTTTCTTATATTAAATGATGGCACATTTTGTGATGTCGTCCCGAGCTTCAAAAATCTCTAGACCGGCCCTGATAATTACATATTGATTTATGTGCCCGTAAGTTCAAGCACACTAAAAAATCTCTCCATCGAGAGGCGATCGATGACGTACGACGTGTTTTCTTGCTATATTTTTACAGATTTGGATCCCATCTAGATCCAAATTGTGGGGATCCTAGGAATCCTACATTTCCATTCATCGTATATCATGCGTCTATAAATCATTTTAAATTTTTTATTTAAAATTAAATATAAATATGACCTATTAAAAACTGATCACACGATATAAAATGAACGATTAACATATAAGGACAAAGAGTATCCGGAGATAATCCTCATCCCATTTTTACATGCAAAGCTTGGAAGACTCGCGTGGAGCAATATGCAAAAATGAGAATAAATAAATAAATTAGTTTAATAATTTATAGGCCATGTATTGAGCTAGGGACGACAGAGACGACAGAGACAATGTATATAAAGTGATCCAAGCATTTCTCGGGTTACGATATTTGATTTGTCTATTGTCTGCGCAATAGACAAATTTATCTAAACAATTATCGATTGTGTGTTAGTAGTACGGTTTTCTTTTGACAAAAGATGGAAAAGAAAAAAAAAAAAAAAAAAAAAAAAAAGATGGAAAAGATAATTATGCTGGGGTTTGCAACTTGGACACTCATTTTTTTCACACATATCTACACATATTTATGAGATTCATTCAGTAATTTTTTGTTTAACGATCCAAAACGTTTATGTTTTAATATATCAATCATTGTTAAAAAAATTAGAAAAATTCAAAACTATTAAAATATTTATTTGTAATGAAAAATATAAATGAACATGTTTACAAAAAAAAAATTACTATCATTGAGATCAACGAACATTTGATTTCGGATTTGAATGATTTTTGGTACATATGATCTTGAAAAACTTAAAAAATAAACGGTTGAATTATTAAAATAATTTAGAAAGTAGAGCTTACAAAAAATGGTCTCCTGATTCTAACCATTATACTAAATTCATTTTTACGGGGGAGGGAGAACTTGTACTAGGTATAGAAGATAAAACATATTTCAGTAGCTAACTTAACTAAACTCAACTATGCGTTATAATAACATGCTATGATTTTTCATGTCTTACTACAATGTAGTCGATAATTAAGGTATCGTTTGGTATGCAGACGAGACGGGACGGAACGGAGAGGGAACAAAGATGCTCTCGGATGGAAACAAGGAGGAAGAAGAAGGAGACAGAGAGGTTATAATTTTGTGTTCGACAGATGTGGAACGAGTCGTTCCAGGAGGGTGAGGCGGAACAAAAATTCACCCAAAATTCGTCACGTGGAACAGCGCGTTCCACCCGTTTTAGGCGCACTAAACGTAGGACGGAACGCCTCGTCTCACTCCATTCCGTCCCGTTCCACGTACCACGTACCAAACGGTAATCGATTGAAATACGTATAGGTTAAATCATTATCAATATTTTAAAGCTTAGTTATGTGAGTCAATATTAGAGCTTAGCAAATAGTCTTCGGCCACGTCTAACAATCAACACAATATTCTGTGTTTTCTTGTTTTTTTGTTCCTAGGAGTAAGAGTAAGCCTAACAATTAAGTTTTACAATTTAGTGATCGGGTACTGACGGATAAACACATGTACATCTCTACACACAAAACACATTTTCGATTAGGAAAATGCTGGGCGATCGTGTTTATAAATTATATTTGTTGGCTATATGATATGACGGTTGATCGTTGAATTTTTTTTTAATGGGTTAAAATAAAAATTCAACTATCAACCATCACATCAGATAGTCTATAAAATATGATTCAAATAGATGATTTCTTTTCGATCTGTTTGCATGTGATAATCCACTACATGAAAACATATATAGATGTGAAACATGCAACAGATAATACCAAATAAACAGATATATATTATATATACACACTTTTGGCTTAGCTGGTTCATTTGTGAAACACCATCGATACGTAAAAATGGAAGTAAAAATTAAAAATTTAAAGAGAGGATAGGCTGAATAAAAGAGGTCAATTGCTTGGTGGTGTCTAAAGTTAAGAGTGCAGGACCATGTGTGCAGGTCCAGGATTGTATGTGTTTTGTAAGAAAACTACAAACTGAAAAGGATGATGATGGAGATATATTGCAATGTATGAAAGCAATTTGTTTTGCAAACTATAGATTAGGATTAGTATGGAGATACGCATTTTGACACACGTTTTTATAGCTCTCATTTTGTAAAATTTTCAAGGACCCAAATTATTTATATTTGAATTTAACATTCATAGATAATTTTGACACATCGTGCGGTCATAAATCATTTAAAATTTAAAATTTAAAATTAAATATAAATAGTACTTAACAAAAACTGACCGCGCAATGTACAATAAACGGTGTGACATCCCACATCGCCTAGGGGAATGGATCATGTAAGCCTTATATGTATATTTTCATCTATACCTAGCACGAGGCATTTTGGGAGCTCACTGGCTTCGGATTCCATTAGAACTCCGAAGTTAAGCGAGTTCGCGCGAGAGCAATCCCATGATGGGTGACCCATTGGAAAGTTTTCGTCTGAGTTCCTAGAAACAAAACCGTGAGGACGTGGTCGGGATCCAAATCGGATAATATCATGCTACGGTGTCGAGCCCGGAATGTGATGGGATCCGAGTCAGGATGTGACAAACGGTCATGATTACGGGATCCCCTAGATCCCTAGAAAAAGGATCCGAGGAGTTGATGATCTTCAATGGGTAAACAGGAAAAACAAACAAATTCAATAATCGTATAACATTACAAAATGAAAATGAAAACAAAAACCGGATAAGGTTGATAGCATCCCCTTTTGCACTCAGCATTTGACAACAATATTATGAGGTAGGAATGATTTGGACCACATGATTCAGATTTGGGTGAAGATATCCGACCGGCCTGTTGATGCTGCCACCGCACGTCATATGCACGAATCATACATAAGTAAACAACCTATGACTGATATAATTATGTGTGACATAACGACGCATTTCCTGCAATCATTGTCACGTCTTCGCCTCTAATCAAACCTTATAATTATCGTTCAACATTCTCTTTCTTAAATTCACATCTTTTTATTTATGTTTTGAACATGAATTGTGTGTCATAATTCGTAAAAAAAAAAAAAAAAGAAAAAAAAAAAAAAGGGTAAATTGCCGTTTGATTCACTAGATTATTATTCAAGCAGAAATTTAAAATTGATTTTCTGAATTATTTTTTTAAGTAAATTAATACCTAAATTATTTAAAATTAGTCAATTAACCCCCACCCCACCGTTATATTCTATGAAATTTTAATCACTTTGATGTTAAATAATGGCACAACTTTATTCTCAAGAGTGAATCACGTTCTGGTCACGTGACAGTATTTAACAGCAAAGTGGATGAATTTCATCGAATATGATAGTGAGAGGTTAATTGGCTAATTTTAAATAGTTCAGCGGTTAATTTACCAAAAAAAAAGTTCAAGAAGTAAATTTTAACTGAATTAATAATTCAGAAGGTCAAACGACAGTTTAAAAAAATAATTACCTGGCATATTGAGTTGTATAATTTGGTAATATTATACAACGGTTGGGCCAAGGGGATCAAGAGTCAAGACTCAAAACATTTTTAGCTCATGCAACGCACAATTCGATATATTATATTGGAGATTTTCTAGTATGTTTCGGAGAACTACATCAAATCTAACGGTTCTAGGTTTCCATCGGACGTTAACTTTAATAGAATTTTCGTACTGACATAATGTGCATCAATCAATTTTATTAACGGAACTAGAAAAGAGTTCTCAAATTTACATATCTAAACTGGGGAAAAATAGTCTTCCCTGGCTCGTGTTCTCAAACCGGTCTACCCTTGTGAGGTGAAATTTTTTGTGTAATGTGACGAAAGAGATAAAAAAGACAAAATACACACCCGATTATTACACAGTAGAATCTCTCATTTTTATTAAAATGAACATATGTATACATGTATTTCACTAGTGGAATACAAAATGGTCTCTGTATCTACAGCAGCGCATGCATTTCTGTGCAACAATCTTATTCGAAACTAAAGAAATTGAAAAATCATAGCAAGAAGAGTGAAAGACAAACTGCACAGTACATCGACAGCCACCGGTGGCCATGACAACATAACTTATCAGCAAGCAAGTTGCTGAGAAAATGCCTCTTCCATCCAAATCCCTTGTATCCTCCTTGCGGCTATACACTTACGGGATGGATGAAAGCTGCCTGATTGGAATTTCTTTCTGTAACAAAAATCGAATCCGTGATAAAAAAAAAAAAAAAAAAAAAGAGTTTGTTTGTTCTATACTGGGGAAAACAGAGTAGCTAAACCTTGATCCACGGTTATTTGAAGTTCGTCGTACGTCATCAGTGTCTTTTGGTCACATTTGTATGCTCCTCTGCCTCTAGCCAGGACCTCGCCATCTGAGTCGATTATCCCTCCCTTAACTGGGTCCTCGGTGCGAGGACCAGGTTGCAAAATAAATGCTTTCACCTGCAGTATGTCACAAGAAACGTTATTAAGGCTTCTTATTTGCCCAAAGGTAGACAAAATCTTGAGCAATAGTAAATGCTCGAGAGTTTGATTTTGCTGACCTTGAAGTACAAGACATATGGTGATTTGATATGGCTTCCGGTGCTCAACCCAGCCATCAACGAGAGCAATGATAATTTTGGACAGGCCCTCATCAATATCACGTCTATATAACCATCCGAGAACTGCAAAGGAGCACGAATACATGTGAATTATTCGAGTTTTAAATAAACATCCCTAGAAAGTGTTAGCGGAGAAGTATCTGAAGTATATGCTACGCAATTTTACAGTCCAACCTTGGCATCAGGCGCTGCCTTTGTGTCTTCACCACCCCAAGGCACATTGTGAAGCCAGATTGAAACGAAGGGCCCCCTAATAGTTCTCCAGTCCATGCTATCCAAGTTAATATCAGGCCCCTCATAGCCATGCTGTCGAATGTTAATCGGTTCCTCTTGATTTGGAGCACATGCAATGTGTTGGTTAGCAGGTTCACTGTCATTACTGTAACTAGTCGGCTCTCCGTAAGTTTCAAAGCCCGGTGCAGGCACAAACGAAATAGATCCATGATATTGCCTCAAACGCACAATCCGTTGAACAGCCTAAAATACATAAACAATTATTACTAATTTCTTGCCATTCAAATCCATCATACACAAGCACACGAACATCTGCATTAGCAATGGAGTAATCCGTTAACATAACAAACGAGAGATTTAAACTTACATAGAAATCTAGTCGAGCACTTCCCATCCACCTATACTTCTCAGACTCAATGTCAATATCTGCCACTAAACCTGAAAGCAGATAAAGCTTTATTAGGTACCTATAAAATCATTGCATTTTTCCACTATCCAGTGGTGATACTTTTCACTTACCCCATGCAAGCATCAATACACTAAAGAATTTGGTCTTCCCCTGGCATATGGTAGCTACATCCAGTGAACGCTTATGCCCTGACCGTAAAAAAAACCACAAAGAAAAATTCATTAATCAAAACAATTACCAACAGAGTAATAGAAAGGGAGGAATCATAATATTTTGAGCACAGTATAACGATAGACAGACAGCATATATAACCTCGAATAATGGCGAGAACAGCATTAGAAGGTGTACAAGGTTCACCAACAGAATCCGAAAGAGATTTGCCATTCCATTTCCAGTACCTAATGGAGAGAATCTCGTCAGAAATTAATCTTGAAAACAAAAACAGACAAATAACTATGCTTGTTTGAAGCGCAAACATACAATTCACCGCTTTGCCCTCACCTTTTGAAGAAGTAACTTTCCACAGGCTTATTCTTGAACTGAGCTGGAGGGTTTTCTGGTTTCCTCCAGAGTATAAGGCCGACTGAAGAATTTGAGGGTCAAAACAAGTCCATCAAATCTAGAGTACGTTCGACCCTGCTGATATGGGATACTTTTGCTTTTGACAAAGTAATGGATGGATCGGCACGTGTGCTGTTACGCTTGTCTCCACATGCTTCCAGATAGGGCAAGTGCGAAGGATACAAGGAAGCATGTGGAGACAAGCGTAACAGCACACGTGCCGATCCATCCATTACTTTGTCAAAAGCAAAAGTATCCCATATCAGCAGGGTCGAACGTACTCTAGATTTGATGGACTTGTTTTGACCCTCAAATTCTTCAGTCGGCCTTATACTCTGGAGGAAACCAGAAAACCCTCCAGCTCAGTTCAAGAATAAGCCTGTGGAAAGTTACTTCTTCAAAAGCAAAAGTATCCCATATCATCTCTTCTCATTTTTCTTCTCTTTATCCTTCATGCTGCTGCAAGATGGGGAGAAGGTGAATAATCAGCCGGAGCTCTGATTGCTTACCTTGTCTGTCACCTCTTTCAGCAAATCCCCTAGCTCGGCGACTTGGGGGACTCCTACTACATGGTTTGTATCGCGCTTGACCAAGCCTGAAACTACAAGTAAGCTTCAAGTGAAATTGATACATTACCTTGTGCATCTCCACCAGTTAAAGATACCACCCCTGGATGGAGGAAGAGTACTTCCAGAGAAGCTGCCACATCTACCTATGAGACAGATAAGGCAAGTCAAGATGATACCACACTCCGATACTTAGAAGTTTCGTGATTACGAGATCATTCTCCCACAATATTTCCTAATGTCATTTGTACTCTAATGTCATTTGTACTAAATCATTCACTTATACTCACTAAAGGAGAGCTTGAACCTATGTACTTGTGTAAACCCTTCACAATTAATGAGAACTCTTCTATTCCGTGGACATAGCCAATCTGGGTGAACCACGTACATCTTGTGTTTGCTTTCCTATCTCTATCCATTTATATACTTATCCACACTAATGACCGGAGCAATTTAGCGAAGATCACAAAAAAGCGACCGTTTTCGCTACCTAGGATCTATCTTACAAGAGAACGGAGAATTAGATGGAGATCTCAACCATAGAATACGAGCTGGATGGATGAAGTGTAAGAGTGCATCCAGTATGTTGTGTGACCGTCGTAGGCCACTGAAGCTCAAGGGAAAATTTTATAAGACGGCAATAAGGCCAGCGATGTTGTATGGCACAGAATGTTGGGCGGTGAAACATCAACACGTACACAAAATGGGTGTAGCAGAGATGAGGATGCTTCGTGGGATGTGTGGGCACACGAGAAAGGATAAGATTGAGAATGCGGATATCCGAGGTAAAGTAGGAGTAGCCGAAATTGAAGGAAAGATGAGAGAAAATCGGTTCCGGTGATTTGGACATGTGCAAAGAAGGCCGACTGACGCTCCGGTTCGAAGATGTGACTACGGGACAGAGGTTCAGGGCCGAAGGGGTAGAGGAAGACCTAGGAAAACTTTGGAAGAGACTCTAAGAAAAGGTTTAGAGTACTTGGATCTAACGGAGGACATGACACAAAACCGAGCGCAATGGCGTTCTAGGATTCATATAGCCGACCCCACTTAGTGGGAAAAGGCTTTGTTGTTGTTGTTGTAAAATATAAAGAAAATTGAGAATTAAAGAGTACGAAACCTGCAGGAACTACTCCAAGGGGGATCTTTATTGCAGCATCCCAATCCTCTCTCTCAAGGAATCCATTTACTACCTACTAAAAAGTGCAACGCTTGTAAGAAGAAAATAGTAAAACTATGTTTACCAAATTACCGCAGCTCTCCCTGCAATCAAAATCTAACTCATTTGACGGAAAAGAGAAAAAACAAAGTTTGTCAGCGTTAGTAATTTGATTCATCAACAGCGTCATCTGCTCGATCACAACATGGCATTGCTCGTGTTTATCATGGCTGCCACCGATAACTGCAAACTAACCTCAACCAAGATTCCATCCCCACTAACACAAACAACGCCATCATACTTTGAAAGATCTAGTGTTTTAGCAACTTCCTTCGCATGTAGTTGATATCGAGTTTCTGAGAAATTCGATCAAGAAACAATTACGAAAAGGGAAACATTAACTCGACCCGCAATTCACAGATCCAAAATTCAGTATCACACGTCAACTAACAACTAATAAGCAAAACATTGACGGAAATTCCTAACCTTGCAGCGTAAATTGGATGCCGGCATCCTCGAAAAGAGGTTTTACGTGATCAAGATAAATCTTTGAAGCAGATTTGCTCCCACCAAACGGATTCACAAAAACAAACAGCCTCTTTGGCCGTCCTGTGCAAAAGAGGATAAATTACCACCTATATTATCACTATATATGCAAGAAAGTAAACAATAAACCATAAGTTCATGTTATTTTCAATAATTAACCTCAATTAAGTACAAATTAGAGTAAAAGGAGCTTGATTTAGCTTGAGCTAACAAATTAGAACGAAAACAACAGAAATTCAAAAATCTCAACGGTCAAACAAGAAGAAGTCATAAGTCAACTTTTCCAAGCATGCATTTAATTTTCCTGCATTTTCCTATCAACCAAACAGGACATAAGCCGATTACAAGCATACGAAAGTTACCGAGAGAATCGATGTAATCACGGAGCTTCTGGCACCAGAGCCGGTGCGATTCCTCAAAGAGAGGCTCGAACACCAAGTCCTTCCGCGCCACAGCTCCTCTGCTCGCGGCGCAGCAGATTCCAGCTCGGCCTTCAACTAAAGCTCTTATCCTAATCTTCGGGCCTTCTGCCGCGAACCCGAGGACCTCCTTCTCGACGATCAAGCTCCGGTGACCTCTCTGCGACCACTGGAGCACTCCGTCGGAGAATAGAGTCACCGGTGTAACAACGCCGTTTATGAGAACCCGGTCGGAGATAAGGGATTCTGGTGGAGCGGACTCGGGTACGCGTCCGGGTCGGTCCATGTTTGGCTTGTAGTTCAAGTCTTCGAATCGTTGAGGGGTTCTTTGTTTGGGTGAGCCTGAAAATGTGTGACGTGGAATTTTATGTGCTGGTTGGCGGAGAAACGGGTTCGGTTGGATGAAGCGAATCGGGTCCGATGTGAACTGAACTTGGTTTGCAAATTAAATAAAATTACAAAAAAACCAGGAAAACTGAAATTTGTTCGTTGTACTGTATTGAGCTTTTGTAGGTTTCACAAAAGATAAAGCAAAGAGGCGTTGGACCCAAAGTTATTTTATAATCGCGTTGTCGGATGACTTGTAACTTAGAGCTCGTTTATATTTGCTTTTAAAATGATTGAAAACATATTTTAAGAAAATAATTTTGAAACCAATTCTTAGTAAAAATGTAAGTAAATCCTAAAAAAACATTTAAAATGTTTCTTGGAAGAAACACATAATTGGTGCTTATTGCAGAAAGCACTTCAAGTGCTTTTGGATTCCAAAAGCATTTTCTTTAAAAGCACTTTCAGTCATTCTAAAAACACATCCAAACGAGTCATTAGTAGCGAAAAACAAAATGCAAATGACTTTTTATCGTAGTGGCGGAATTTTTTTTCTTTTTAACAAACAATTTATCTAATTAAGGGTAATTTTTTTTTAAACAAATGATATTATCTACATTAGTAGTTGAGAGAATTGGTTAAGCCTCTAAACATGCTAGTAATAATGTGGTTCAAATTGAAATTCGCCTTTAGCGAGAATTGAACTTAAATCCTCTCACTTACAAGTAAAAAAGAATAGTAATAAACTATGATACTAAGTGACGGTAGAAATTAATTATGTATATGCATTCCCGTGACGGTTCCATCTCTCTTCTTTCTAACAACTAACAATTTAAACTAATAACACTATTGTTTGTAAAAAAAAAAAAAATATCGTTTGGGCTTAGGGTTCATAGAAAACATAGCCATCTATTTTGGGCTGGATATTCAAATCCAATTATACTTTTGGTCCAGACCAATCTACTGAATCTAATTCCATCTGCCAAAGAAAACGAACGCGAACCGGCCTCTTGAACCACAAGCCTAAACACTTCGGCGCAGTGAAAGCAGCGCTGATTCTGCAATGGCGGGCAAGGTTGTAGAGGAAGCGATTCCGGCCGTAAATCCCCGAGGTTCTTACATAAAGAAGAGGGCTCTCAAAAACAAAGCTCTCGCCGTCACGTTCAACGAGAAAGACCTCAGGTAGTAAAAACCGCCATCACAAAATTTGCTCAGTGATGAAATCTAAGTCCCGAAATTTTGTTTCTTTTCGCGTTTTCTGAATTGGGTTTTTTGAATTTTTTGGGTTTTGATGCTTGCTTGTTTTGAGTTTGTGAAGCGATTTCGTGTCTGGGTTTCACAAGAGGAAGAAGAAGAGGAGAAAGGAAGCTGAGCAGAAGCAAGGGGAGGCGCTGCGGCGGAAGCGTCTCGAGCTGCGCAAAAAGGTTGGAATTTGTGGCTGTTTTTTGACCGTTTGATTGCCTCTTTTGCGTAGTGTATAGCTTGTTTACTGCTCATTGGATTTTGATAGTTGATTGATATGGTTTTTAATCTCATTGTTGCGAAAAGCTGGTGTCTTTGCAAGAGGAATTACATTGAAAAAGCAAAAAGAAAAAAATTTCGGGATGAGATTTTAACCCGAAAGAACTTCATTCGGGATTAAATCAAAATGAGAACTTTTCTTATTAGTGATTTTGTTTGGACCCAAATTTACATCATCGGCCCGTGTAATCGAGACCGTAGAGTATACATAGTTCTCAGCCGTCGGATGGAAAAGTGAAAATATTTTTGTTAAAAGATAATATTATGGTTTTTATCATGATTATCTTTTAATTTGAATTATCTTGACATATTCTTAAACGGGATGGATATGATGCAAATTATATCCTCAAGTAAGAGTGTTTGGGCTCAAATTAACATGTTGGGCCGAGTATAGAACCACTCTCGGCCCGGGAGGCCTGGCGACAGGGGAGCCTTGGATCATTTAGTACGTGGGCTCCTAAACCTAGGTCGGCTAGGTCATATTACATTTACTCGTCGAGTCCTAACGCGATAAGGAGTCTCGGCAAGGGTAATAACCCGGAAGTGAATCCGGCTCAATAGAGGACTAGGCTCACAATCCTAGTAAACATAGGACTGGTCGAGTGGGTGTTTGATCCGGAGAAGAAGACCTAGTTCGAGTAGGGTTTTGACTCGACTTCAAAGGTATCTAGTGCTATAAATAGAGGAGGCTGTGCATCATTCAAAGGGACCTCCAACACACAAAACTGCCCTGCGCAAACTTTCTCAACACCTTGAGATTTTTTATTTTCTTTTTTTCGCCGACACATCTTCCGTTGGCATCAACAGCACTGTGAAGGCAACCGGTGATATCTTAAGTCGGCATAGATAGCTCTGTCACCGTAGAATCAGCCGATCTCGCAGCATCTTCCGTTGGCATCAAACAGCACTACGGCGAGGACGACTGGTTACCTATCCAAGTCTCGGTCAAGAAGGATTTCCGAATCCTTATTGGTCGAGGTCATCTCATCAGCCTTCTCGGCGAAGTGAGGTGTTACCAGGTTACTGTATTCGGCACATTGACAGCCGAATTTGAGATTGAACTTCGCAAATTAGCAGCCTTGTCTTCAGGCTCTAGAACCCAAGAGGCTGAGAATTGTTCCTTCCTCGGCCGCAATCGCAAGACACAGAAGTCAGCAGCGCGCTCAACGCAACATCATCAAATTTACTCCTCGGCCGAGCTCGGCCGACGAGTTGGCACGCCCCGCAATCACCGAAGGACGTAGTTAGCTTAGAAAATACTCGGCCTGCGCGCCACGTAGGCTTTGTAATTTTCTAGGGTCAACAGATTTACAAGACAAGTGTTAGTAACACTACAAGTTTTAGGTTTAAGATGTGGGGGGGTAGCTGTTGGTTAATATTCTAGCACTTCTCGCGTTTCTGCCTCCCCCGACAGTTAGGGAGCCGAACACAGGAGTTTGATATCCATTTGGGGGAGACATGTACAAGATTGAAGATTCAACTCAAGATGTCCTAACTCTGATACCAGGATAAATTTTATTGATTGACCGCTATTTATGTCGTTCTGGAGCATAAGATTTAGTTGTTAGGATGTAGGTCAAGTACTGTTTTGTACTATGAAAGAAACTTACTATAGTGCAGAAGAATGACCTCCTAGTAGGATGGTAGTTACTGTTTAGGGTTCCTTCTGCTAGAGGTTTACCAGAGGTTTTATGCTGGAAAAGCCTATGTAAAATCGATTTTTTATGCCAAAAAACTGGAATTTGTAACCAACGTAAAAAACTTATTCTCTTGCCTGAAACATTTTTCACTATAGAAATCAGAAGAGAATGCCATATGAACGTACATTATAGAGGTAATGCTTCTAAGCATGTTCTCTCAGGCAGCTAAGGCATATTGGTCACCTTATGCAAGTGCTTTGACCTTAGGTTCCATTGGTTTCCTAAATCATTTTCACTCAATAATTCTTGCATATTGTAGGCACAAGGATTGTATTTATGGCGGGGGATGGGGAAGAGGGGGAAAACTGGTCCATTTCTTTTACATATATGTTCATCCTTTTTAACGTTCTGTTTTTTTTTTCAAAAACAAATCTAAGTTGGTTACTTTTGTTGCAGAGGAGACTAGAAAAGGAACTGGTTCTTAATGGTGGGATTACCCCAGCCACTGATACAGCAGCTGATGAGGTTGATGAGGGTGATGAGGACCACCAGGATGATGAAGATAGTGAGCCAGCTGTACCAATTTCTGGTATTTTCGAAACCTTTGTTCCGAACTAGATACAAATATAAATTTAAGCTACCGTCATGTGTCACTCAGTACCTAGTACATTAAGCATTCATGTCTAACTATACTGGGTACTCTTGTGCTGCCATCCCCTTGCAGTCTATAACCTTGCAGTGTTAAGTTTTCATTGGTTGTTTTTGGTTCAGTGAGACAGTGTTGGTTTGCAAATTTTATACGATATCTCAACACTAAATCACAGCTATTAGATTTCGGAAATCTTTGTTCATTATACTGTAATGGTTCAGCTTATCGTCAATCACAATTTGAGTTTGACCCCTTTGTTATTGCTCAAGGTACAACGACTTATGACAATGGCGAGATGAAAGTCGTTGTGACAACAAGTGAGATTTCTCGAGAGGAGGAAAGTGATCCAGACGAAAAGCCAGAGGCAGCACTACCAGAATCAGTCGGAGCTTCTAAAAAACACAAGATACCAGTGAAAAAGACCAAACCTCTGAAAAAAGCTGCAAAGCGTAAATCCCGGCCCAAGCTACAGCGGAAAAGAGATAAAAGGAAGGGAACAAAACCGGCCAAGAACAAGCGCTAGCCATCGGTCTTCCATATTGCGAGGCTGTAGGATCAGCTTGTCTTTCCTATGTAGAATCATGAAGCACATGAGATAAGCTGACCAGAAGTTCCATTTCGGTACATTTGGAGTGACCCTTCGGTTGAGGATCACACTTTTAGCTGCGTACTGCCCGTGTTTTTGTATTAAACCTTTGATTGAGTGGGATGTTTTACATCATCCGCTTCTGCATAATCTCTTATTTTTCTCATCATCTAGGCATCTTGGTTTAAAGTCATAATTAGTATTGGTTTGGTATCGATGTGCTTTTATAAAAAATGGGTATAAAAAAAAGTTGAGCTTAAAAAGGTGTTTGGTAAACACTTAAAAACAGCTTATTTTCATAGTTTTTGGTGAAAAAAAAAGCTGAAAACATGAAACAGCAAAAATTCTCACAGCACAGTAGAAATAGTTTTTTTTTTAAAGCATAGCAATATCAAATTAAACTTTAATCTAATGATTGAAGAAAATCATTACACATAAGACATGACATATCTAAATACGAAGTTGCTTAGGATTTGTTTGGAAGTGTTTTTAAAATGACTGAAACTGTTTTTAGTGAAAATGTCTGTGAAACCAATCTTTGATAAAAACTCAAGTGGATCCAAGGAAAAAGTGTTTTAAGTTTTTCTTGTAAAAAATACTACATGCTGCTTCTTTAAAAAAGCATTTAAAGTGTTTTTAGAAAATTAATTTCACTTTTCAGTTATTTTAAAAACACTTTTAAACAAGTCCTTAATTATTAGTATCACGGTATAGGAGATTTTTTTTTTAATTAAAAGTAAAATATCTTAAATTTGATTTCGGTGAATTACGCCATTTAAACTATATAAGACGCTAAATCATAATTTATAAATAGTTTAGTGTCGATTTTGCCTTCGTCGAATTGTGTATATGATTAAAAATTTGTAATCATGTGTTTGTGCAACTGACATTAACCAGTGTTTGTGAAACATACAGATCCTCCGGTCACGTGGTCGAATCCACAAAAAGAATCAAAAGATTCCCAAACTTCAACCGTTCCAACGGTCCCGATCCTCCGATCGCCTCCCTTAGAAGATCTCAGCCGCCGACCAGAGGCAGCAAGAGATTCGCCACTGTTTGGATCGAGAGAAAATGCGAGAAAATTTAAAAAGAAAGAGAAAGAAAATACAAAATCGCGAGCGAGCACTGAGACAAAAAAGCCTCTTTTTCTCTGTTTAGTTGTTTCAGAGACGCTACCGAGCGGGAAAGTTCGCCGACGCTTCGCGGAAACTTCTCGGATTCCTCTGTCAAACATTTTTCAGGTACATTTTTTTTTCTCACTTTTTCCCGCTCGCCTTTTCCTACTTTTCCTTTTTTCCTTATCCGAAATTCGGTTCCGCACGTACCGCACATGGAATAAAGCGGAGGGCCACTTGTGTTTTTGGATCAGATTTTGCTGTTTGGCTGCTCGGAAAACGGAAGACAATTGGAATCCGAGTCGTGTTTTGGACTTTTGTTTGTTTGTTTGTTGGTGTGCGTGTCTGCGTGTGAGAAATGGAATTTTAAATTTTGAATTCTGAATCTTCACGTTAAAGTGAAAGTTAGCTCCGAGTGATTTGGAAGTTTTTGTGTGATTGTTTTTTTTTCCTTTCACTTTCTCAGCAACCAAACAGGAGGTTGAGGTTTTGAAAACGGTGAAAGAAGATGCAGACGAGGTACATGGAGAGATCCAACAGTATGGCGAGGGAGAAGCGAAGTTTGGATTCGTCTTCAGCTGAAGAAGGCCAGCCGGATAGGAAACGTCCTGCTCTCGCCAGGTGACTTTTTCTTTCTGTTCAAAGAAAACTTAGCTTTCGACGTAATTATAACTGATTTGTAAATTCAGCTGAAACGTATATCTGGATATGAAATTGTTCAAGATATTGTGTTAAATTTGCGAAACAGTGTAGCTTGAAGACTTGAACCGACGAATTTATAATCCCGTAATGAATTGAATGTCTTATGAATGATGAATGTGGTGAAAATGTCGATTATTGAGAATGCTCAACTTAATGCAGTGTAATCGTTGAAGCTCTCAAGGTGGATAGTCTGCAAAAGCTTTGCTCGTCACTGGAGCCGATTCTGCGTAGAGTTGTAAGACTTTCTAGTTTTCTTGTGGACTTTTTGTTTTATAATCTGTCACTGGATAGTAGATAGAAGGGGTACTATAAGTCATAAGGACTCTTGATAATGTATTGGTGTCTATGACTTCATAATTACTTGAAAAAAGTTTAATGCATGCCTAATGAACAGGATTTGATCCTTTGATATGTGCATACGCCATACGGTGTTTGAAGCATTGGTTGATGTTTCTTACTTATTTTGGTGAACAGGTTAGCGAAGAGGTGGAGCGTGCTTTAGCAAAATTAGGCCCTGCCAAACTTACTGGAAGGTATCAACCCTTTTCACCCCTTATGTGTTAACGGGTTATGATCCGTGGTTGTTTCCTTTTTTCATTTAATCAGTGCTGATGCCTCCATGTCAATAGTTTGTTCTTATAATGGGTTTAAAAATAGCAGGTCTTCTCCTAAACAAATTGAAGGGCCCAATGGAAGAAACTTGCAGCTGCATTTTATATCCAAGTTGTCCCTTCCTCTTTTTACTGGCGGAAAAGTAGAAGGGGAGTGGGGTTCTGCAATCTCTATTGTCTTGATTGATGCAAATACAAAACACGTCGTGACATCAGGTCCGGAGTCTGCGGTGAAATTAGACATAGTTGTGCTTGAAGGTGATTTTAACAACGAGGATGATGAGAACTGGACTCAAGAAGAATTTGAGAGCCATGTGGTGAAAGAGCGTGAAGGAAAGAGGCCACTTCTTACTGGGGATGTGCAAGTTACACTGAAGGAAGGTGTAGGAACACTAGGGGAATTGACATTTACCGATAACTCTAGCTGGATTAGGAGCAGGAAGTTTAGGCTAGGACTGAAAGTTGCTTCAGGCAATTGCGACAACATTCGTATACGGGAAGCAAAAACAGAAGCCATCACTGTTAAGGATCACCGTGGGGAATGTGAGTTAATAATTAGTGTTATTTAACATTTCCTTTTTTAGTTGAATAAAAATCAACATGGTAAGTTTTCTTTTGGTTTCTTTACAGTGTACAAGAAACACTACCCACCTTTGTTACATGATGAGGTCTGGAGATTAGAGAAAATTGGAAAAGATGGATCATTCCACAAGAGGCTGAATAAAGCTGGAATTGTTACAGTTGAAGACTTCCTACGACTTGTGGTTAGAGACTCGCAGAGACTGCGGAATGTAAGATTTTGGAATTTGTTTGTCAAGTTCATATTTTGAAAATGCTATTCCTAATTATTTTTATGCCCATTTGTCATAGATTCTTGGAAGTGGCATGTCAAATAAGATGTGGGATGGACTCATACAGCATGCAAAAACTTGTCTTCTTGGTGGGAAACACTATGTCTATTATCTTGAGGATGCAAGGAATGTTGGTGTTGTTTTTAACAATATCTACGAGTTGAGTGGCCTAATTACCGATGAACAATTTTTCTCTGCTGATTCTCTCTCGGAAACTCAGAAGGTATGCGACCGTCTGGTTTCTCTGTCTTTTCTTTTTTTGTTTCTCTTTTATAGTGCCTTGATTTGGTATCCTGTTCCATCTTATGGTGGGGTGGCGCTACTAGTTAAATGTCGCAAAGCATGTAAACTTAATGAGATAGAATCCATTTTCTCCATAGAGGCTATTTTTTCACACTGAAGAAATTCAGTCCATATGCATTTACTCTTTTATCCGTAAACAACACTCTTTTCTCCCGAGCAGGTTGACCTTCCTGGTTAATGTATCTAAAATGATACAAAGTAGTGATGAGCCATGACCCCTCAGAGTGGTTGAATTGTGAAGTGTTGTGTTTCTTACAGGTCTGCGTGGACGGTTTGGTAAAAAAGGCATATGACAACTGGATGCATGTTATGGAGTATGATGGAAAATCTCTTCTAAGCCAGAAAAATCCAGATGTTTCTCTACCTGAGGTCCCAATGGCCTCGCAAGATTATCCAAACTCATGTGATCAGCAGTTCACCCTACCTAGCCTGCCAGCTTCAGTTTCTTCACAACCGCCTCCTATGGATTCCGGCCTAAACGTGGGAGGTATATATATACATCTTCTTTATTTTATTACCACAAAATAAGTATATCCAATTACTAAAATTTAATCCTGAGCCTCTTGGACCGAAGCCCGGGGGTCATTGTACACAAATAAGAATTTTCGGTGCTTGCATTACTTCAAATATCACGGTACCAACCTGAAAATTTTGATTTTCAGAAGTGTGGTTTGTGTGTTTTGGATTAACTTCCGTTGCTAATGTGTGAATTCTCTCCTCTCTCTAGGTTATAGTGATGGCATGGCTGCCAGATTCTCAATACAGTCACAGAATGGAAATCTGAATGCTCCAATTCAGCTCGATGGCTTGTCATTTCCTCAACAGAATCAGCTGCCTAGCATTTCGCACCAGTCGCATTTTCAAAGAAATGAAAACATGCTTTCCCTTGGTCCACTACAGTCGTCCACATCAGGGTTCCAGAATATCGGCACATCCAATCTTTCTTCTTATAGGGGAGTCGAGGACCTCTTCCCAGAGGAAGAAATTCGTATGAGGAGCAATGAGATTCTCGAAAATGAAGATATGCAGCATCTGCTTCGTGTCATTAACATGGGCGGTCAGGGTCAAGGCCACAGTTATGGTCATTCCTCCATGAACGTCACTGAAGACAATTATCCTTATTCGTCACCATACATCCCCACTCCACAAGCGAACTACAGTATTGATGATGATCAGAGCCGTTCACCTGGGAAAGCTGTTGTTGGCTGGCTCAAGCTCAAGGCAGCGCTTAGATGGGGCATATTCGTCAGAAAGAAGGCTGCTGAGAGACGGGCTCAGCTTGTTGAGTTGGATGATTTGTAAATATCACATGGACGAGGCAAAGTTGATCCGATGTTGGTGTCTCTAGGCTTCATTTCTCCGCTGCCTGCCTGCCTTATTCCTGTCACGCTGCAGTTTCTGACTGAGAGTACTATGGTCGTGGACATTAATTGGCAGGTACAACCTCAAGCTCGAGCTCTCATGACGCTTCTTGAATATAAGCCACCGTCATCTTGGGACATCTTCGTGCTTGTACGGTTCATGTGCAGTCAGCTAATGTCTTCCATCGACACCTTGCTTTACCGTTGTGTTTTACTGCAAAGGGTGTTTAACAACATTCATGATTGCAAG